GTGGATTATAGATTGTATTTATAACAACAAATTTCCCTTCCCTTTTCCCTTCCAGAACTATCTTTTACCATAGAAATAAGTGAGCCACTGTACATTTTTTTACTAATATGCTAGATAATCTCTACGTTAAATCAAAAGTAAATGGTCATTGGTATTTCAAGATTGAAAATCTGTTTCTGTTTTATGCTCTGTGTCTTTGGTGTGAAACTAGAAATCTCTTGTCTGTTCCAGTCAATGAAGCTTTTGTTCGTCTGTATTAGAGAGAATGCTGCTAGTCTAAAAGAACTGGAGAATAATTACGAACAGGAGTTTTATGCATTGTATACCTGCAATAGTTAAAGGCATGGCTGCTTAAATGTATTCTAACAATTGCAGCAGCAGCACCGGAGGAGTTATTTGAATTATTCATTTTGCCAGGAGAAAACATCCCACTTGTCTTTTCTTCAGAAATCAAAGCCCAACCTTATTCAAAGTATGCTTTTATGGGGGAGGTTTTAAGTGAATTGTGCTGTTTCAGGACTTCTGCTATAATTGCCAACAAAAGCAGATTCTTAAAGAAAATACCTAGGGTTTCTAAAAGAAGGGGAAAATTGATTTTTCACATGAACTGCTGGTTTAGGGAGAAGTTTAATGAAATTCAGCTCTTACATAAATAATGCAGCACTTGCATTTGATTATGTGAAGCCTTGAGGAATTTCTGCCTAATCAGATATATAGCAAGAGGGATATTGCCAACAGACTAACCATTCCTAATGTGCATGGAGAGGTCCATCCAGATGGAAAGCTCAGATTCCTAAAAGAATCTATAAAACTGTGCAAATTTGAGAAGTTGACTCTCTGCATCTCAAACTGTCACAAGTATTTATAAAATAAGATCTGTATTCTCTGCATTATTATTGCTACTTTAGTGCTTAGGGGCCCCCACTGAAATTGAGACCCCATGTACACATTGTACAAGCACATGGGACGACACAGCCCTGCCACCAAGAGCTTACAAGACAGACAGACAAAAGGTGACTCTGGGATACATTTAAAAAATGCTACGTTTACAGATGTTTCAGTTACAAAAAAACACCCCAACCTAGAATACTTTTGTACATGCAGATGATCTGCAAAATTTGTGGGAATGTTTTTAGAGCCCTTTAATCAATTAAGCTGTGACGTGTGAGATGAATGCAAGCTTATTGTGCTTGGTCAGTCTCACTCAGAGCTATGTTGGATCCTCTCTTTATCACCCCCTCCTCTCCTCGAAGTTTAGATTGACAACATTGGGAGTTCATGCACAGAAGGCAGATAGAGTGGAATTGTGATCCTCTTAGGACTTGATCATGTCCCTCCCTGCCCCTTTATTGCATTAAGCAGCAGCACCTTACCTTTTGATTCAATTATACCACTTGCAGAGTAAGGTATTCAACATAAGTAAGAGTAGCAGAATTGGACCCTTCCTTATAAACCTATCGAACACCATGTCCTCTCCCTACAAGTTGGATTTTCTCTGTTGCTGTCTCCTCTCCTAATGTTTGTTTGGATAGGTGGGTGTGACCGCTGTTGTTTTCAATTTCTGATAACGTTACAAATGGCTTTCACAAAAGTGCTTTATATTTAGGACCAGATTCTCAGCTAGTATAAATTGGTAAAGCTTTATAGACTTTATTAGGGCTAAATCAATACACGCTGGCACAGGAGCTGATCCTTTGGTGTGGGTGTGGGTGTGTGTATATAATATAGTAAAGGGCCATATGACCATTAGTAAATCTAAAGTGCATGAAGTACCATATGGAACAGCTGAAAGAACTGTCTGCATGGTATAACTGACTTCATTTAATGGCAGAGCCTTTAATGCACAGTTCACATCCTTTATTTATGGAGCCACTAATAGGACAGTGTAAGGATGAAACTGGGTCTGTATTTTCCACTTGAGTTTTCATTCCCTTCTAAATTTGCCCAGAAAATTTGGGGCTAAAATTTCATGTGAATGCTTATAGGTCAAATAATTTTATTTCTGAATGCTTCAAGGAAATACGCTGTTAACGGGCAGTAAAATGTTAATATATTTTTGACTTTTCCAATAATTGTCTTAAGTGCTTTTGCCCACTCATAACTCAAACACGGTTTGGTGTCAGAAGTTAAAACCTCCTCATGCTTTGTGGGTACTAGCTATAAAATAACACAGAGGTTTGTTTCGAAGCAGAAATATAAAATAAATGACCCACAAAGTGACTGAACTTTTTTCCAAAGAAATCAATAGCAAAAAATTCCCTTAAACACCTAGGGAGACAAAACTGAGCTCTTAAGATGTCTGCCTGTCTGTTCGGTGGCTACATTGAACCATATCCAAGAGCATATCTGGTCTGTCCCTGAAGTAGCCCAAGAAAACTGCTGAAACTTGATTCATTCCCTGGTGCCCCATAGTCCCCAATGGAAGGAATTTTCCACTGCATTTATCTTGTGTCAATTCCATTCTGCTGGCCAGTGCATTTGGGGGATGGACACAAGGCTTGGGTTGTTCTTTACCCGCTTCCTGCGCATCTGCTCAGAGGGTGGAAGTAACACTCTGAAGTTTTCCTTTTCTCCCACACCCAGAGGGTGAGTCCAGGCTGATTGTGCAGGCTGATGGTGGGCTTCTGTGCCCCAGTGCAGTTGTGTTAGGGCCAGCCACAATTTGGTCCTTCATTTGTAACTCTTTGTTTATGTGTTAGAAGAAGAACCATTAGGGAAAAATGCCAATTGAATAGCTGGTAAATGGTTGTATTGTTGGTGAATGGTGGTGCTGGAGTATTTAGCTGTGCAAGATACTGGCTTGTACAACCACAAACTGTCAAGTATAGTTTCGAGACTGAGTAGGGTCTTTCATGGCTGAGCACAAGATGCTGATCTGAGGGTGACAGAATATTTAGCCATCAGTTACAGTACAGTGTCAGATGTATGTGTTTATTTACCAGTATAACACAATGTTTTTAAAAAGATATATGGTTGCATCCAGGAAATATTAGAGATCAATCATGCAGGTATTAGTACCTGTCCATTAGAGAGTGCAGCGGAGGAATAAAATGATTTTGAGCCACTGACCATACTTATTTATAGAAAGTTACCCATGTCTGCAGTTGCCTGAGTTCCCTCCTATTTTTCCAGATCCTCTCAGAAAGAGGTCCCTTGCCAAAACTGTTCAAGTGCCACGGACCCTGAAAGAGACTGGTGTAAAACTACAATATAAAGTCGATGACAAAATACAGAATTATTCCTGCTACTTAAGAAAAGAAAATCCCCATCTCCACCTCATTAGAAAACATGGGGTGAAATACAGGGAGATACCCAGATTCAGTCTTAAACTTTGTTAGCATTCTGTTTATTTTAGGCACTTATAGGGCCCTAATTGCTATAGTATCTGAGTCATTCCATCTTTAGTATATCTTTCCAGCACTCCTGTGAAGTAAAAAAGTAGTATTAACCCTATATTATGAACGGAGACCTGAGTTACAAAGAGATGAACCACTGTGTCCAAAGTCATGTTGGAAGTCTGTGATGGAAATGAGATTTGGCCTTGGACCCAGCTCTCGCATGTTCAATGGACCATCCTTGCTCCTTAGGGCTCATATCGGGAATACCATACATCTAGGTTTTCCAGATATGATCTCTTTGTTTAGTCTTTTGGTCTCCATTTGGGTAGATATTTGAAATAAGAGCAAATGGCTGGAGAGTAGCAGCTGCTGGCCAGCCACCCAGCTCTAATGGCAGCATCACTGCCAGCAGCAGTGCAGAAGCAAGAGTGGCATGATGTGGTAGGGTTGTACTTGCTTCCTGCTCACTCTCCCCCCTTCTGTGTCCTCTATTTGGGAACTTGAAATATGATAACCCTTGATCATAAGTAATTCCTCATTAACAAAATCAACTGTGAAAGAACTACAGAGGGCAGGGCTGGAGAAGCAACTGTACAGTGATTACATTGAATTTCGGTTTAACTGAATTAAAACTCCTAAATCAGATTTTTATGAATCCAGGCAAGAAGGTAAGAGGCAGTAAGCAGAAAAAGTAGTCAGGTGAGAAGCTAAAGAGAGGGAAAAACTCTGTAATACTTGGGAGTACTATGTCCAACACAATAGGGCTCCAAAGTTTGATTGTGGCTTCTAGAATGTTACTGCAATGTGTTTTATTATCATTATGAAATAATTCTGATTTAGAGTTGAGATTTCTGCTGAATTCAGCAGAATTATACCACAGAGGAATTTGGCATGTTATGGAATAATATTGCAACACAGAAAAGCTGAGTTAAAGTTCTCTTTTGAACAGTTAATTTTTTACATTCCATTTTTATATTAACTAGTAGTTAAGGAAAATTCAACACACATAGGCAACAGTACAAGTGCATTTCCAAAGGCTGATCATTTGGGTTTTTTTTCCTGGATAATGTTCTTGTACAGCTGATTTTGTAAGTGGAAAATAATTTAGCAATCTAATGATGTGTTTTGTTTTGAAACTGAGATTGTTCCTTCCTTTTATTGATGAAAATGGAAAAAAATGTTTAAAAGTTTTTTGATTTTCAATGGAAACAAATGAAAAAAAATCTGAAACGTTTCCCATGGAAATGTACATGTGACACAATTTTTTTTGGTCGACAAAAATTTGACTAGCTAAAACTTCTCTGCCTTTTGCTAGAAGGACAAGCTCTGCGATAAACATCCTTCTTCACCACAACTGACAGGAAGTTTATAAGAGTAGGTCTGATTTGCATTTTTCTATGGAGGCTGAGCACATTTTCCCCCATCCCTTTCTTTAAAACTTCTACCTCTTTTGCTATAAAGCTCTCTCTTTCTCCGCTCTCATCAGGAGCTTCTGCAAGGGAGGAGAAATACATCAGCAATGTTCAGAGGGTTATTTTCACTTACAGAAAAGAGCATAATTGCAATAGCCTTGTCTAGTGTTGGGAGGAGAGAGTATTAAAGCAGATAGCTTTGTTTGTCAGTATGTGAATGACTATGATTTTGCACTGTCCACTTCCCTAGATTGTATCCTCGTCATGCAAGTGCCCTGAACAACCTTGGCACGTTGACCAAAGACTTGGTGGAAGCAAAGGAATATTATAGAAGAGCTCTTCAGTTAAATCCACAGCATAATCGAGCTCTCTTCAATCTTGGAAACCTGCTCAAGTAAGTTATCACTGAGGTCAAATGGCTTCAATAAAATTAAAATACTTTCCTTTCCTCCTCTTTCTCCTGCGCCTGCCCTGTTACAGCAGCAGATTGTCTACCCAATGGTAACGATGAGTGACATTAAGTTCTCACTGGCAGACAGGACATCTGTGGAGTTTAGGGTGATTGGTTTTGAATTCTGATGTGCTATTTGTTATTTTTTTTGGCTGGCTGTGAATTTCCTTTTTGGAAAGACACGTCACTTTGGCTCAAAGAATCTCACAGAGAAGTTAACCAAACAAAGAAAAAAAGTAATATTGGGCCAGATAGTAGCCTGTGTTAAGATGCCTTTACACCAGCCAACTGGCATAGAAGTGCTCGGAAGCAGATGTCACTTAATGCCCCCATTTCTGTCCTTGTGATCAGCAAGTTGTGGGGGACATGACTAGTGAAAGGGGACATGGTTGGGACACCTTCTAGTGCTGAGGCAGCTCATTAGGGCTATAAGTAACTTGTACTACTTCATCCAGCCCATCGGCTGCCCTAAATTACACCTGAGAACAGGAATATCCAAAATCTAAGTCGGCTTAAGGTCATTTGTGCCCCCACTCGCTGATTTGCACCAAATGCTCCTCAGGTACAGCCCATTATTATTATTTTTTTACATTAGATCTTAGGCTTGGAACAAAGAGGCCAACACTAGAAATGTTTGCTAACATTGTAACGTCACTTAGCGGTGGTGTGATTTTTTTTCCCCCCCAACAATGATTCTATATCAGTAAAAGCTCTAGTGCAGCTGTTCTTCATACCAGCCAAAAAGTGCTTTTGCCAGGATAGCTTCTGTCCTCTGGGGAGCCCGCATACTGTCCAGAGCATTTTTTTCTCCCGTATAAGTTGTGCCTACAGCACGAGGGTTTTCCAGTATAGCTCTACAGGTTGTACCTCCCTGGTCTGGCAACTTCTGGACCTGACCGGTTCCAAATCAAGGAATGTGCCGGACCAGGGGAATTTGACATCGACCCCACTGTTGCTGCTGGCTGTGGGGCTCTGTTCCAGTGGCAGCAGAGGGGCTGGTATTGACTGGCAGGGACTGGAGGCGGGTGCTCAGAGGAAGAGGCAGGGAGGCTGCAGAGCCCCGTGGCCAAGGTGCAAACCCCTAGGAGTGCACTGAACCCTGCAGCAGCCAGGCTGCACTCCCGGACCCCATTGCAAGGCTGTGCCCCTGACCACAGGGCTTCACAGCCACTCTGCCTCTTCTTCTGAGTGTCCCCCATCTCCACTCCTGCTCCTCCCTCTCTCCTTGAGCTACAGCACCACACAATGAACTATTTGCAGCCCTCCTGAAGAGTTCGAGGTGCAGGGGGAGTTGCTGAGTGCAGAGTTCAGCTTTTCCCTGTGAGTGCTCCAGCCCGGAAGCACCCCCGGGGATGCCAGACTGCAAATATTCTGGGATTTCTGAACTATGGAAATCCAGACCATAGAAGACCAGCCTGCACCAGCAAATTCTTTCTCATGTAGACCTGGGTTTGGTATTGAGTTGGTTACAAAACAACATCGTATTTTCAAAACATTTTTGGGCTGTACTGTTCTATACGTTGCTTTGAATAAGGCTTCTGTATCAAAAATAACTTAAATTCTGCCTTGTACCTGGCTGCATATTATTGATAGTGGAGAATTCACCGTGATAACTTTACCGGTCAATGCTAGTGTTTTGTGCTGGCGTATGGAGGACAAGTCATTCCCGAGAAATGAAAGAGAGGGTCAATATTTTATAGAGCTACAGAAAACACAGATCCAAAAGGCAAAAAGACTTGAGGCATTATTTGTTAGTTGGCTGAAGTGCTTCTGAGCTTCTGCAGTCCCCAGTTGATGTGCAGCATTCCTGGTCATGCCAATGTAGAGAAGTATAAATCAGCCACTACGATCAAAGGGCTCCATAAAGCCACATTTGCCTCTCACCAGTCTTCCCTGTAAGCTATACCCTTGTCAAGCCACTCAGGAGAGATTTAAATGCCACCTAGCTGATTAGCAGAGCGCACAGGGCTAGGTTTGTGTTTCTCCTGGTGGTGCACATTTGCATATGCTTCGGTGCACATAAAATATTTATTCTTCACATGGATGGAAAAAATCCATACATGGATAGGAAAGAATAGAGGGAACATTGCCCCTTGCCCTCAAATTCCACAAGTCAGCCCATTATCTCCTATCTCCTGACCAAGTTCTAAAATGGGTAATCACTTTCTTTCTGTTGTCGCTTCAGTTGTTTCTCATGTCCCCTCTTAAAAACCATTGCACAGTGAGGCTGTTAAATAGATGCTGTGTTCCACCCCAAAAACAATTGCTTTAAAGCAGTGGCTGTGTGAGTCCTATAAAGTGCTTTTGAATCCTTCAGGTTAAGATGTGCTATATAAAGACAAGTTTTACACCATAGCTTGTAGAGATACTGCAGCCAGTAGTAAAGTTGAACTTAAAGATATAAAGCCTGATTCTCTGCTGCCTTTTATGAAGTATAGACATTTAAACCTGTGCAAAGTGGAGACAAAACCCTGCCACTGGTGTAACAGAGAATTCAGATTTGGTAACATTTTCTGTCCATTTTGCACTCTCATATATGACTGCACCAGGGAAAATCAGGTCTGCAATATTTCAGACATGCATGTTACTAGTTGTATTTACACAAGGGCATTTGAAAAATGGTTCTGAGGGAAATCAGAGTCAAATTCTTCAGAATTCCTTGCATTTATATATCTACTTGATTTGGAAGAAGCCTGCTGTGCACTTTATTAGATGGCAGTACTATTGGAGTTTTGGTAAGGGGGGGAACTTAAGTATTTAACAGGGGATGAATTTGCTGTTAACATATATGAATCTGTCTCCCCTTCCCCTCTGGAAATAACCTGTCTATTCAAGTAGCCCTTTCTAGTGATCTAAGCTTGAGTAAATTTGTTTTAGAATCCACAAGATGGTATCTTTGCTTTTTCACCGTAGTCCCTTTTTAAAAAAACTTTCCATTTTCCTTTTTGGCCAGAACAATGACAGCAAGGGGCTAGAAGATGAATTTTCACAGGAAGTGCTGCATGATAACTATGAGTTAATGAGCTCCTGGCTTTGTTTATATACTCTAAAAGAAACTTGCATGTCATAATTTTTTGCCTTGCATAAATATTGGACAGAACTTAGTTAAACCATGCAAACAGCTTTCTCAATAAAAATCATTCGCTCCTAGACTCACCTATAATGAAAAATCACATCTCCATCCTTTTGTAGCCCATAATCATCGTGGCTAAAAATGCCTCTCTGTTTGGGTTTAATATTTCTTTTAAGTTGTGCATCATGTAAATATTTAACTCATCTCTATAGATTCAGAACTAATGAGATTTAACTTGAAAAATCAAAATAACATGGATTATTCATACTAGAATTTTTCATACAAATTTTATTGAGAGTCCACTAAAAAAGACTTAATTTTTTGTAAATATATAGGAGAAGGGAATACATGTGTATGTATGTGTTCATATCTGCACACATAACCTGAGTTTGTTGCTGCAGGAAGAGTGGGAGAAATGACTTCTTTGTAGCCCTTCAAATGTACAGTTATATAACAGGCGGTAAGCACTTTTGTCTAATTAAAAACTTCCATACTCTGTTATGGCTACACTTTCAAAGAAAAGATTAAATGCTTTGAAGCGTGTTAACTAAAATCTAGTATTTATTCCCAGGTCCGACTGCATAGTACACAAGACTTCTAGTAGGACACAAGATTTCTAGTACAATTATTGCAGTGGTTTACCAAGACCACCTGTTCGAGGAGGGAAAGATGACAGTGTAGTCTCTTTTTTGAACTTCTCAGATTCACGCCTAAGTGTGAATGTACTAAAATAGCCCTATGGGTTTTTCTGAAAGGGACGGAGGGTATAATGGAAAAGTTAAATTAATCAGAAACTTTGCAATATTAAAAACATTTTGGAGACATAACAATTTCCTTTTCCCACTAAACAACCAAACAGAATGCTGCTTCATCTCAAGGTCAGCAGTCCAAAGATTGAGTAGAGTTTCTGATTTGAAACTCTGCATTGTACACAATACTGACAGTGAAACCAGGATTCTTGAACCAAATCATATATATTACTTATTGGCCACAGTTTTACCCCTCTCGGAAAAATATAGCTATTTTAAAACTGCAAACAGGATGGTTCAGTATTGTAGATGGATGCCAAAGGAATAAGATGTCCATAATCACTTTAACACGTATTGTCCAATTTGTTGGTTTATTTACAGATAAGCATAGCTAGAGACAGTAGATGTCTTTTGGTTATGATGTTAAAACAGGATCCTTTCCCCTGGGTTTTGGGAGCTATCCAAGTGGAAGTTAAAAGATTGCATGATACTTTTGTTGATGAGAAGAGGATAGCCCTGATGGTTTGCCTGATATATTTTCTTTTGAGGAATACCAGTTACTCTGTTAAGATTGTGTATGAGCCCCTACTGAGTGCACAATGGAGCCTGTGTTTGTGCAGTCACTGTTCTACCAGTTTCTAATGCTTCACTTTATAAAGTCATTTGGGATATTTTGAAATGAAAAGTTTTACAGAAAACTAAATCCTATGCTATTCTCTGCAGATGAAATCTATCCCAGTGCAGAGACCCCTCACAAGGCCCTGTGAATCACTTAAGATCCGTGTTATGAGTTTAAATGGTACCTACGTCACTTTGTGGAATTAATTTCACTCTCTCTGGATATCAGTAAAGGTGTTCATTCATCGGCTTGTGCTGTGATAGATAATGAATGTGTAGAATATAAGCATATCAAAAAAATTCTCCCTTTGTACCATTCAATATGAGAGTAAATAAATCATTTTTAAAATAAAAAAAACCTCTACAGCCTCAATCCTGCAAAATGCTGAGCATTTTGGCTCTGATCCAGGAAAGCATTTTAGCACATCATTAACTTTCTACTCATGTGCTTAAAGGTAAGCCTGCGTTCATGCTTGGGTATGTCAGGGCCAGAGTGCTTTGCAGCCACAGGATTGAGCCCTTTTAGAGGTTGTTGTATCTGTTCTTTTAATATAATTTGGTCTGTCACAACAAAAATATTCATAATCTTTTCCTCCTCCCCTTTAAGGAGACACATTGTTCTGGGATCAAACAAAAACAGGCTATTAAGGAAAAAAGAGTAATTAGGAGTGCATGCTTGTGGTTAATGGGGACTTTTACTGCTGTCAGGTGGATCAATTAATCCTTTTATTTCTGTATCTGGCATTTCCTACATTCCTGCCAAACCATTGATAACTTTACAAAGCAGTCATCTGTTTTAAATTTATATAAATGTGTCACGAAACTCCAGCCAACAAATCCAAAAGTTTTATAAATTGACAAACTACCTAGTCTTTAATTAGTAAGGGGGAAAATGGTTCTTTATTTGTTTTTGCTCATTTCTGTAATTTAGATTGAGTACCACTGTAAGAAGAAAAAGACTAGCCCAACTGTTTTTACTCAACTTAATGCACAGGGAAAAGATTCTTTTAGTTATATAACTAGAAGGGGCGAAAAGCCACAAATACTATCGGCTGAAATTTGCACTTTATAAACAAGATCTGGTTTCTTGGCCATGTTGCTCCTATGAAATTCAAAGCTAAGGCTGCAAGCGCTTCACATATTTCTAATGCTTCAGGAGTCCTTTGCTTCTTTTCAAAGGCTAGAATGTTCATATACCTTTGTTCGCCCATCACAAAGAAAGCTTGCTGGCTCAATCTAAATAAACAACCATAGCCACTCATTCAAGGAAACTGCTCCTTTTTCCAAGGCGAGAAATACAGTAAACCCTTCTGATGAAATTGGAGTTCACTGTATTAGGCATTCCCCAATCATCTCTGGCCATCCCTTTCCTAGGAGCAGAGTCAGGGACTCTCCCCAGCTCAGCAATGATCAAGATGCTTGGGAATGGAGAAAGTGATACTGGGTCATCAAAATCATGAAAATATATTCCACTTAAAATGTATATGTTGTTGAATTAAATTATGACGCTGTATAGATAGATAGATAGATAGATAGATAGATAGATAGATAGATAGATAGATAGATAGATAGATAGATATAACATTTCTGCAGGATCTCAAAGTACAAACAGCTTTAAGGTTGGTAAAGACTTTTATGGAGTATGCAAGTTTTATTATCCCCATTTTGTGGATGAGAGAAATAGGAGTGGAGAGAGGTTTCCCATAAGGGACCTATTCCAGGTAAGTCAGTGACAAACATGGGAGTAGATCCCAAGAGTCCTGATTAACAGTCCACTGTTGAAAAGCCTAAATTTTTCTTCCTGTAAGGCAAGTGCCTTTAATAATGGTTCCTCTGGGAGAGTCCCATGTCAAGGGTAGTGCATTGTGCTCTGATGAAATTGCCATTAGCTTGCCTTTGACTTGCATCTACCTCCCGATCAGGGTTCTGCTGGATGAGTGATCCATAGATTTGTCCTCGTTGTAGACTTCAGAATTAAACAAATGCAGCTTGAGTTCCATAATTTTATAAACAATTATGTTTGTAGTTTTGCAAGCTGAGAATGAGGCAGATACTGGTCACAGCCTAGATAGAGTGAAATGTTTTCATGCCATGTAGCGTACTGCAGAGTTGGCTTATATTACTTATCTGTTTTGCCTTCTTCAAGCATCAGATAATAGCCCACACTATAGCCAGACTATCACTGCAATGGAGCCAAAGGTCTTGTCCATTAAGGAAAATCCTCTTGGCTCCAAACTCCCTTATATGAGAATAATCGACATAAGGGAGAGGAGACTACGTGAGTTGTAAACTCTCAGAATTTCTGTGAATATTTTTGTTCATAGTGGGCAGATTTCTTGCAAAAACAGAGATTGGTTCCCCTTAATCTAAAGACCTTGTCAGATATACATGATATGATATCTGAGTGAATGCCTCTTGCTTCCCCTCTGCTACATGGCCTCGCGGCCTTATTGGCCCTTATAGCACTTACTCCTGAAAAGCAAAAGTTGTGTTTCTCATAGGGTGTGTCTAAACTACATGGCTCCATCAATGGAGCCATGTAGATTAGGCTGATTGGCAAAGGAAAATGAAGCCACGATTTAAATAATCGTGGCTTCATTTAAATTTAAATGGCTGCCCCACTGATCAGCTGTTTGTTGGCTCAGCGCGCTAGTCTGGACGCTCCCGTGCCGACCTGAAAGCCCTTTATCGACCACCCCGTTATGCCTCGTAGGATGAGATTTACCGGGGAGGTCGATAAAGGGCTTTCATGTTGGCAGGGGAGCGTCCAGACAAATTTAAATGAAGCCGCGATTATTTAAATCGCGGCTTCATTTCCCTTTGCTGAACAAACAAATCTACATGGCTCCGCCGACAGAGCCATGTAGTTTAGACGTACCCATAGATTCCCCAACCATGGCTGATCCTAGGACCTTCCCTGGCCTCTGCACCTAAGAGAAAGGTTGCATCTAATGGAAGGGGAAACAGTACAAATTAACAAAGCATCATGCTGTATTTTGGTTTGCTCCACACTTGTCAAGGTTGGGAGAGGGGGGTCAGGAATAACCAAAGGAACTCAGCCAGCTCCCATGCCTCTCCCTGCCTGCTTCAGTGCTGCCAGTGAAGGGCTGCTGCAGAGATGAGACCCTCTATTTCCATTTCTTAAAGGGATTCTCTTACCTCTTCTCAAATCACTGAGGATAAGTCTACACTTGCACCCTCTTTCTAGAGAGGAATACAAATGAAGACATTCAAAATTGCAAATGAAGCCGGGATTTTAATATCCCGCACTTCATTTGCATATTTGCATTATGGCGGTATTTTGAAATAGCGCTATTCCAAAATAAGATGCTGTTAAGACGCCGTTATTTCGAGAGAAAACTCTTCTCTTAAAATAACCCTTATTCCTCACACAATGAGGTTTACCAGTTATTTCATGAGAAGGGTTTTCTCTTGAAATAACTGCGTCTTAACAGCATCTGTTATTTTGAAATAGCGCCATAACGCAAATATGCAAATGAAGCATGGGATATTTAAATCCCGGCCACATTTGCAATTTCGAACGTCTTCATTTGCATCCCTCTCTCAAAAGAGTGTGCAAATGAAGATATACGCTGAGACTTTCCTAATAGGTTTGACCAGTTGATAACTGCAATTACCGTGAAAACAGGCCACCACTTAAGGCAACGTGTTGGGGACCATATGCGGTCATGTGCCCCCCATTTGCTGCTTGCATGGACTAAATATGCTCACTAACATCTTCTGAAATCACTGCTCTCATTCTGCCCCTTCCATCTCCCCCAGCCTTTTAACAGCACATACAGGTTGTCTCAATACTTCTCGTCCTCCCCCACTTCTCCCAATATACAGAGAAGTACTGTAGATGGAGAATAACCTTTGTGCTCAACTTTTAAATTTCCCAGCAAGCTGTAGAAATCCATCCAAGGGAATCTGCAGGTGCCAAGGTACAGACTCCCAAGTATCCAATAACTTCAGTTCTTCACTTCCGCTCCTGCTGACAGACAGGCTATAGAATTCTGTATTGCCTCAGGAGATTCTGGTTACATAGACTATGGATAGAAGCCCGGAATTGTTTATTTAGTCTCTGTTGAAAAGAACAAGACAGAGACTTTCAAGTCTCTTGAAAGTATTTAATCAATAGGTGACCTAAACATGTTGTTAAAAGAACTTTGTTTCCTTTATGACTTGCAGGTCCCAAGGGAAGAAAGAAGAAGCTGTGTTCTTATTGAGAGATTCCATTAAGTATGGTCCAGAGTTTGCAGACGCTTACTCGAGCCTTGCTTCCCTTTTGGCTGAACAGGTAACCACTAACATTTAGACTTGGATAGCTCATTCCTAGACCCATGCATGGATACAAAATCTGCATCAACCTCAGCATCTGTAGCCACAAAAATGAGCCACAGTTATCCGCACTGACATCTGCTGACGTGGATACCTGTGGATATAAAGCAGATATCCGCAAAGTTTGCAGGGTTCTAGATACAAAATTTGTATCTGCATACATATCCATATGCACAAAAATAAGCAATGGATATCTGCATCCACATCTGCAGATGAGGATAAAAATCAGATAACTGCATATTTTCAGGGTTATACTGATTCTTTCTGTGCATAAAATCTTTCACTCTTTGGTCCCCAGGCTAGCTCACAAAAGCCTTTTTAACCCATAATGTAGCTGAAATTGTATATTTGCAATGAAAAATAGTGGAGAACAATACTATTGCAATCTTAGTAATTAAACAAAACAAATGGACTAAGAAATAGTTTTTTATTTACCTTGAATGCCAGTGCTTGCACAGGGACAGGTTTAATTAAAGGAGGATGAGGAGGTAGGTTCAGATAATACCTAGCCTGCCATGATCATAGGGGACTAGACTGGATGACCTTTCAAGGTTCCTTCCACTCCTATGATTCTACTAGCCAATTAGCCCGTCATAAGACTGGATTTTTAGGTCTCTCCTCCACGTTGGTCTTCTCTCCTGAGCCTCTGGTCTCTCGCTCACTCTCTCTCTCCTCCTCCTCCTCCTACTGTCTCCCCCCCACTCTCTCTCTCAGCTCTCCTCCGCCTCCTGTCTCTCTGTCTTTCTCTTCTCCTCCCCATCCTGCCTCTCACTCAGGGGACTGCAGAGCCCAAATGGCCGTTTGGGCGCCGCACTCCCCGAGCTACATTGGGAAGCACGAAGTCCAAACGGTCGCTTGCGCCACTTGCTCCCACGCGGCGGCCTACCTGAGCGGCGCAGAAGTCAGCCGAGCACCACAGCAGGAGGCGAAGGGGGGTGGGGTGGTGACGTTCACAGCCAGGGGGCAGGGCCTGCAGCTGCTGTCATGCCGCACATCACCACCCCACCCCCCTTTGCCTCCTGCCGTGGCACTTGGCTGACTTCTGCGCCGCTCTGCCAGGCTGTCGTGGGGGAGCAAGCAGCACAAGCGGCCGTTTGGGCCCCGCATTCTCCATGCAGCACAGGCCCCCCAGAGGGAACAGCCAGCATTTCAGCATTACAGACTCTCAGACACTGGGCTACTATATATATGACTAGCCAATTAGCCCATCATAAGACGGGATTTTTAGGTCTTCTCTTCTGAGCTCTCTCGTCTCTCTCTCTCTCTTCCTACTGCCTCCCCCCCCTCTCAGTTCTCCTCCGCCTCCTACCTCTCTCTCCATCTCTTTCTTTCTCTTTTCCCCCTCCTGCCTCTCACTCTCCCTTTCTCTTCTTCTCCTCCTCCTGTCTTTCTCTCCCCTTCCCCTTCCCCTTCCCCTTCCTCTTCCCCTTCTCCCCCGCCATGGTGCTTGGCTGAATGCTGCCTGTTCAGTCGGGCTGCCGCGAGGGAGGGGGGCAGGGCGGTGATGTACACGGCTGGGGCTGGGCGTGTACATCACCCCCCCCCCTTCCTGTCCTACTGGGGCCACCTGAGCGGCGCTCAGCTGGGCCCTGGTGCGGGAGCAAAAGGCCTGTGGCTGCACGCCCCCCCCTCGCCAGGTCTGTTTCCCACCCCGCTCCTTCCGTCCAGCCCCACGGCCCCCGATCTCCCTCCAGCTCTGCTTCCTACCCCCTCTTCCTGACGGCCCCCCGGACACCTCCCTGCCAACGCTGCTTCCCTCCCCCCTTCCTCTGGGTCCCCCCATCATCCCCTACAGCCCTCGATATCCCCCCAGCTCTGCTTCCCATCCCCCTTCCGGCCAGCCCCTTCCCCTTCCCCTCCCTGTGTGGTGCCCCCCCCCGCCCCCCTTCCTCTTCCTCCCCCTCTGTTGCTCTCAGCTGAGCTGCGCTGCTCTCAGCTGAGCGGTGCTCCCGCCGGGGCCCGGTGGAAACGCCGCTCAGCTGGGGGTGGCGCAGCACGCCACAGCTCACCACACAGAGGAGAAGGGGGTGGGGCGCTGATGTACATGTCCAGAAGGCGTGGCTGTGTACGTCAGCGTTACAGACGCACAGACACTGGGCTACCATATATATGATGACAGCTGGTTTTAATACTAATTAGTTTTCAATAATTAGAAGTACTGGTAATGAGATGTCAGGATAATAAAACAACACAGTGTTGTAAGGCCATATGTCCAAAGGAAATTTCCTTAGCTGTAGTTCCCTTGACTTAGAAATGTTAAGTCCACTAATAATCGATCTACTCTGCAAACAGTTTGTCCATCCTCTTATGGTTTGACTAAGTGGAAGGAAAAAAAGATGGCCTATGCAGTTTTCCCAGATGGTAACAACTTCCTTTAGCTTTTTAACACCTCCACATTTCAAACCATACAAGATTAATAGTTGACTCTGCAATCCTTGTACTGCATACCACTTACACAAACAGACCTGTTGACTTCAGTGGGACCACTCATGCAAGTAAGCGCTATTCCACATGATTAAGGGCTACGAAGTCAGCCCCTAAACGTGCAAATCTCCTTGAGGAATACATTACAGGAAATTCTGCCAGCATTGCCCTGATGATGTATGTGCTGGGAAGGAGAAATTAGATCTCATTTTTCAGTTGTAGTCTAATTTCTTCCTTTTAAAGAAATGTATTATTTGTAGTTCTTAAAAGGAATTAAGCTCGTGGCCTTTGTTCTTTCTATTTGGGTCATACGTTTTTGCATTGTTGGTTACTTTTAACACACAATATACAAGACTTACACTGGTAACAATTTAGAAAAACCTGTGTGTAACTCTGGGGGAGGTAGCATTGCAAGAATTTTATCTTACACGTGTTTAAAAAGTGGATTGGAGTTTCTAAAAGTTGCACACTTAAGGTGCGTCTACACAGCCCCCTTAGCTTGAAATAAGCTACCCAATTTGCACTACACAAATTGCTCAGTTTATTTTAATGCTGTTTCGAAATAGCTTATTTTGTAATTTGGCGCTGTCTAAACAGCACTAACTTTCAAAATAACTCACTATTCCGAAATTCCCCTTAACAGGGATGTTGGAATAAGATGCCTGTTATTTCGAAATCTATTTAGAAATAATGGGCTGCTTCAATAGATGTAAAATAGCTATTTTGGGATACTTCATGATAGCTCCCATGAAGTGACCATGGTTATGAAAAACTGCTGTTTCTGAGGCTGTGGGAGACAGCTAAAGAAGGAGAGAGCAGGTGGAAGTGTCTTGATTGCCTTGATGCTCCACACTATGTTCCCCAATAATTTAAGAGCTATGGATGTGAAATAAGGCTTAAAGTTCCTTTGCTCCAGTAGTTGTAAAAGAGGTTATTAAGAAGAAAGTCTCATGCTCAAGGGAATTAGTACAGGCTCCTGAATTCCATGTCTTCTACGTCCCATACAAGATGGTTTTCAAACCAGAGCCGACTAAGAGAACACTTATAGAATACACAATTTCACTTAGTCAAAAGCTTCCTATGTTCTAGGCTGCACTTCTCATTGGGAGCCCAACCAACTTTTCCGATTGCTTGATCTCAGTTGCATCTCATTGTTTGTGGCATAATATGTTGCCATGGAAATGGATGTGATATATCTGAGTGAATGCCTCTTGTCCTGATGACTCAAGTCTTCAGGGTCTCCAGCTCTCACGGTTTTGTCCTGCAACACGTGATATTTGGTGTTTCTTCTTCAAACTTCATCTGGAGTCAGGCAGTTTAGTGAGAATCTCAGCTTTTATCTTTTTTTTACAAAGACATTTCTAGCCCTTGTGGTTGCAGAAAATAGCCTGCTTGCCCCCCCTTGAAAGCTCAGAAGGCAAATAAAAAGCTCCTAGGAATTTTTTGTTTAAATCTCATTTAAAATCTTGATGAATTTATCAATCTCCTGAGCTTTGGGGACATGCCTTGTGCCTTTTGAAGGGGTTGGGGTTCACGATACTGAGTGCAATACAACAATCAGGCTCTTGTGACTGTACTGCGGAACCTTTTTGGAGAAGATAAGGTGGTGTGGAAGTAAGTGCTGTGTAATGTCCTGGGCACATACCCTTCCAGATTCCTGACCGGGACTTTGGAACTGCCAAAAAGACCTCGCTAGAGATAGTGCAGTGGACCTAGCAACACTGGGACAAGATTCTGTGAGTTGCCTGTGCTTTATGCCATCAGTATTTGTACAGTACAGACATAATAGCATCCCATAGTCTATATGATATTGAGTTTGATTTGAAACCCCATTAATCCAGCAGAACGTAACTGTTTCTTGGTTTAAACGCAGCTTCTATGTGATTAGTAAACTCAACAAGAAAAAGTTGTCCACTCCCCAAAAAGAAAAAAAAGTTATAGTTGCCTGAGAAAAAAACCAAACATGACATTTTGAAGATGGACCTCTTCAAGTCTCTCTGAGCCCTGGTCTGCACTAAAAATTAGATTGGTTTAATTACCTTGGTCAGAGTTATGAAAAATCCATACCCCCTAGCAGCAGCATTAAGCTGATCTAAATTCCTGTGTAGACATGCTAGGTCAACAGAAGAATTTGCCATTTGCAGGAGAGTGATTTATTTGTGCCACCAGGAGAACCTCTCCCTTTGGAGTAGTGAGTGTCTATATTGAAACATTGTCATAGTGCAGCTGCAGTGCTGTAGCTATGGTGGTACCGCAGTTAAGGGTAGACAAGGGATTTTGGCACAGGGATCTTGTGTGAAAGTTGCCCTTATTTTTAGTTAAGCATTCATGATGCTAACTGTACTCCTTATTTTCCCTGGAAGAATAGAAGATGGTGGTAATTCCATATAGGGAGACTGTCCAAACTTAACATTTTTAAAGAGTGTTATCACCATCCTTCTTTCCCTTCTTTTCCACTGACTGACCTTTATCATGTAAATGTGAAAGCACCTAACCATGACAGTCATTTGCTTTCATCAAGCCATATTTTTCAAATGCCATTAATTTCAATTTCCCATATCTTAAATGAATATGGAGAGAAGAGCTGGTACAGTTTAAAAAAATCAATGGGCCATATTCTCCTCTCAATAGCAGCACTCTAAATCCACAGTAAGTCCAGTGAACGAGTTCTAGGATTCACTGGTATAATGACGGAGCCAAATTTGAACCTGTATTAATAAGCAAAAACATTCTAGTTCACTCCAAGTATTAGGAAATTCTGTAAGAAGATACTACAGCAACATTTTTCAATGCCCAATTTGGCACGCTATGGCAGTCTTATTTTGAAAAGTCCTTGAGCATTCAAAATTTTATAGTGTGTCAAGTGATGTAGTAGTCACTTTTGAGTATCCTGATTTAAAGATCCTTTTAACAATGCATAATCAGTCATTTGCAAAAAAATAATAATACAAATCATTGGGATTAAAGTGGTGCAGTAGATTAATAACCTTTTGCCATTTTAAGTTTAGATTGAAATCCTGGTTGTGAAAATCCCTCGTGGCTTTTTCTTCCCTATCCCATCTCACAGCTGATCAGCTGATCTCAGTTGGGCATCTCAGGAAGAAGCCATAGTCTGTCATT